AATTCATATCATAGCTTCGTTATTCTATTTATTTTCGTATATAATTAAGAATAAATAACATCTTCATATTTTGTGTTTTGATGATTTAGGGACTTTGTTTAGGTATAATTCTCTCACTTGTGGGGATGCATTGCCTTTACACTCTATGGGAATTTATGAAGCCTGGTTTTTCCGTGCAAGAATGGTATCTCTACTTTTGTGGTTCGTTGTTTAGCCTCTTTGATATCACACTCAAGCTTCTTGGAATCTCGAAAACCGTCTTCATAGTCACCAAAAAGACTATGCCCGATACTAAACCAGGATCTGGGCATGGACCATCTCAGCCAGATGATGGTATAAATCCAGATTCGAGTAAATTTGAAACCGAAGGCTCGTTTTTTTTCTTGCCCAGCACATTTATTTTGCTGGTGAATCTAGCTGCTTTAGTCAATTATTTGGTGGGCGTACAAGTGTGGAGTCTCAGTGATGGAAGTGGTGGTTCGGGTTTGGAAGAGGCTTGTGGATGTATGTTTGTAGCTATGTTGTTCCTTCCATTGATAAAGGGTTTGTTTGAGAAGGGAAGATATGGTATCGCATTGTCTACTCTTTCTAAAGCTGCCTTTTTAGCAGTTTTATTTGTTGCTATCTCTATGAGAAAGTAGTCGTGAATTCGTGATATATATGGGTTTGCCGGTTTGTTATGAAATTAAACTAAGTTTATCATGACATTGTCGCAGTTAATAAAGTTTTTTATGCAATATTTGTATGTAAGTAAGTGAATTTTTTTTTTATAAAAATATTTGTATGTAAGTTTTTTAATTTATGTAAGTTATGTAACATGCCTCATGAGGTGACTTTAAATCGATGGTTAGTGTCCCCAAGTGACGTAAATCTAGTTATTGTCGTGACTAGCGAAGTAAACCTCTATCATTACGTAATGAACAGTAGTTACATTAATCACGTTATTCTCATTTCTCACTAACGTAATAGTAGTTACGTTAATTCAGGCCTGGTTCTAAAAGTGTGCATGTACTTTTCTACAGGGTCTCACAATGGACCCCACAA